AACCTTTTTTTAAATAAGTTTTTATTTTATTTTATTTTTAAGGAACCTTTTTTTAAAATAACTTTTTATTTTATTTTTCTAAGTAACTTTTTAAAAAAAAATTTAAATAAGTTTTTATTTAATTTTATTTTTTTAAGTTCCTTTTTTTTAAAAAAAATTTATTTTATTTTATTTAAGAGCCTTTTTAAATAAAAATTTATTTTATTTTTTCAAATAGTTTTAATTATTATGAAATTTATTTTATATATTAATGCAAAGTTACTATTTTACCTCTTTTAAATTTAGTGAAAATGTTGAAAAAAAGTTGGATGACCATGGTAAACGTTATATGAAATTAGGTATTTATGGTGAAATAAAATCAAATTGGGTGTCCATAGTGATACTAAGAGTCTATTTGATTGCAAGAATGAAATTTGAGTGGAAAGAAAACAAATTACAAGAGATAAAATTGTCTAGAACTTATTTTTTCGGGAATTGTCAATTAATGTGTTTGATTTATATAATTTTTCACCTGAAAAATGTTGAAATTTTCTATCTTTTGATATTCATTTGACTTTGTTTTTCATGAAAATTGTCAATTACATGAACAAAATTTGTTATAATTGAGGATAAAATTTGTTTTAATTGTAAAAAAAAAACGATTGGAAAATCAAGGAAATTGCACATGTATGGAGGGAAGAAGGAAAACAAATTGAAAACGACTGCCATCAAACATGCCAAAAGTTGGAAAATGGTTTCCATGGAAAACATGCCAAATCAAACAAACTCTAAGTATAAAATCAGATGGCCATGATTATGTCTGTCAATGGATTGGATTTTGATCCGAATCCGATGAAATTAATGGGAGATAGATTTAGGGTCTCAATCCGATAATTCGATTAAGATCCGAATTCAATAATCTGTTAAATAAATGGAGTAAATATGGATATAGGTCGATCCAATTTATTATAATGATATAATTTTTATATATTATATCATAATTTAGTAAATATAATTTTTTTTTCATTTTGAAACTTATATTATGCTTTACACATAATTTTCAAATAATAAATAATATTAGATAATAATATAATATTGTTAATTGAAATATTCGAAGAGATTTAATTTTTTTATTAATTAAAATAAGATAAAAATAACTATAGTAATTTGTTTTATAACATCAAAAACTAAAAATGAATATGTCTAAAAATAATTTACATTGTTTAAATTGATATTATTTGTTATTATAATCTTGTTAAGGCTATGATTTTTAATGCAAATAATAAAATAAACTAGTAACACTTAGAATTGACAATTGACTAATATTTCACATTGAAAGATCACTAAAATATTGGAAGAAGAGTATCCTTTAAAAAGTTAGTATCTTATATTGGAAGATTATTAAAACATTCCAAAAGGAGTCTCCTTTATAAAGGAACTAAAGGAGCATCACTTGGATAAAAAAATTGATTTGAGCCTTCTAGTATATTAGGTGAGCCCATCAAAATAATTAAAATAACTTTTGGGAAAAAATCATATTACCCGAAAAAATGGTGGAAAAAATAATTTTTTTCAAATTCGGATTGGATTATTGAATCGGATATCCGATAACATAGCAAATCGGATATGGATTTAACAATCAAATATTCGTTGGATTATCGGATCAGATCGGATAGAATAATTTTTCTTAACGGACGGATCGAATTTGGGCAGATCTGCTCCATATCTGATCAATTTACAGTCCTAGCCATATGAAACAAAATCAAATTGGGTGATCATTGGTGGATTTATTACTTTAAATGTCGACTACATTAATTGCATGTTTGATAAACAATAATTAATAGGAGTCGACATTGTAATAATTAATATTTTACTTTTTCTTTCTTTCTTAATACCATTAGAGCTATTCAACCCTTCCTATTAAACACGTCATAGATGACTGAAATAGGACAGCAGACTATCAAATACAAGTACAACTCATTTCAACAGTAATGGTCCTAACGAGGAGGAAGATCAGGCGGAGGGGGCACAACCAACTGCAACTCTCAACCAATAACGACATAGCCTAGCCCCAAGTTAAATGGAAATCTTATTTACGTGACGGTGAATAAGCCAAACTCCTGAAATGGAATAAAGGAAATCAGTTAAAAGATCGTGTTGGTCCCAAGTAAGTCAAACTTTGGTGACTCAACTAATTTTAACGAAAATACACAAGAAATAAGCACAAAGAGCTTTCGGTCCAAGGCCCTGGAGGTTCGACAACCGCTATAACCGCCTAATTCCTCGTTGAGAATCCATTAGGATTTCGCTTAAATCCACTATCACAGCCTCAAAATTGGGCAAAATCAGATTACAGAAAAGAACACAAATATTCAGCTGTTCAAATCATAATAAAGGCCCTCAGAAATTACATTCCAACCTTACCCAAAGGTGGATCTTTTAACTCTCACACACTTACAACAATTTCACCAAGAAATCACAAAGATTCATCCAGAAGATGAAGAGAGTACAAGAAGAAGAAGAAGAACGACCGTAACCAAAAATAGGTTTCTCCAAAAATCTACAACCTAGAATTAATCTCTCTATTTATAAGAAATAGAGCCAATAAGGTTATCCAATGGTTGTCAATATGCCAGGTGTAAGAGATCAAGAATAGGTCACCTTTTACAAGCAAAATCGTGTTTACAAAACACGTTTTCTTTAATTCTGGAACCTTTGAATGGCAGATCAACACTTGGGCTCAAGAATTTCAGCAATTCGAAACCTTTACACATAGAATAGATGAAATCCTAGGTAGACTTGTTTGAGTGTCCACGTTATTTACCTGGATTATCTGCCATGAATCAAATAACTAACCCTCCACCAACGTGGATGTTAATTGTGTGGCGAACAGGTGGATCATTGAGTTGACTCTAGTCTCTCATAGTCGTTTCCTTGCTTTCCCATGTGAGGGCTGAAGAACTGTCGCCTTTGTGTTCCCTAAGATCTAAACTCTAATTTGAGACATACACAAGTCATCCCTCACGGCTCTCTCTTGTGCCCACCCTCCAAGTTTCTCATTCACGACGACATCTTGGCAAGGGAGAAATCAATTGAGTAACAATACTTTTAATTCTTCCCAACTTCGAATAGGACATATTCTTTATCCACAGGAACCACAATATTGGGAAAAATGAGTAATTTGTATGTAGATACATTATTTTTTAATATAAACATAAACATAAATAATATAATTCAACAATAAACAATTACTCAATGTAACATAAACATGAGAAGAGATTTAAAAAACAAACTTTAGAGAGTTACGTCAAGAACGCTATCGTAAAATTGAGTTGTCTCCCCTCAGGGTTGGCCCTGATATTTTGGAGGCCTTGTGCCAACTTCAAATATAAGCCTATGAATATTGTGCCTATGTTTGATTTTTAGTAGATTTTAATGAAAATTGATGAAATGCATGATTGAAAAAGTTGTGAATATTATAAAACGTGTAATTAAAATTTTAACTTAGAAATAATTAAATACAATTAAACATTATTAGGAAAATTATAAGAAAAATATAGGGTTTAAACTCCAGTACAAACATAAAAAAAGGAAAAAAAAAGAAAAAGAAAGATTAATGAGTGGATTGAGAAAATCCTAAACCGGATTACATAATACATAGAGAAGCATTAGTTTACTTAAAAAAAAAAAAAAAAAAAAACAAACAAACTGGAAAAAAAAAGGACAAATAAAACAAAATGCTAGAATCTAAAGAGAAATGAATACCAGTTGCTTTAGCAGCAGCTCCTTGAATAAGTGTAAAACCCACCATTAGAGCATTAGAAAAGTAATGGGAGTAAATTTTGAAGAGAGAAAAGTAACTTTTTGTTTCTTGCTAAGAAAAAGAAAGAACTCGTTAAATCCCTATTCACATCATTATGTTCGATAAAAAGATTGAAGGAAATTTCAATAAAAAAATATTGGAAGGGGAAAATATTTCAAAAATGAAAAATAGTCAGGAATTCTCGACAACATCAAGCTAGAACAACCTGTTCTATTGATGATTGGGAAGATAAATAGCCAAATTAATTATATATAGAGAACTCATTCCATTGCCATGTCTAGGTTGGGGTGTGGGGTAGTGAGGTAAGAGCATCTCCAAGATTTTTATTGTTAAAGAACAAATTTTATTATTTAGAGAGCATCTATACATTTGGCGAATTCAAATTTTGAAGTACTTCAACAAACTCTTTATATTTAACACTTAATTTGCTACTCCCAAAAAATACTCATTACCTTTTTCTATCTTTTATTTTAACTATCTTTTCTATAGATTATTTTATCATTTTTCTATATTTAAAATTGAAATATTTTGAATGCATTTAAAATTTGGGGAGCCAAACTTACTTTCTTAAATAAACCGTTAATTTAAAGAGTTTCTTGTAACATGATTTTAAAGGTTAACTCTTTAAAATAATGAGCATTTCATATTTGAAGAGTTTTTTGGAGATGTTCTAATATCGGATATTTAAAAAAAAAAAGGATTTAATGAAACTTTTTAAAAGTAGGATTTGAAGTAAAATTCTTTTAAAACTACAATTTGAATGAAAAAAAAAAGAAAGAAAAAGAAAAAGAAACCCTACAAATTAACCCCATTTTCATGAGAAACCTTCGCATGCCGCATCTAGAGATTGTAAAAAAATTCGTCAAACTCGATATCCACGGAACCCTGTCCCGTTCACTTTAAATGAAAAACTCCACAAAATTTAATTAATTATAGTAAAAGATGGTAACTAAAATTATTCAAAGAATATTATAAAATAATAAAAATCTTAATTTATCAAATATGTTCAAATAACTTAACTATTAAAAATAAATAAATTAATTAATTAAAAACTTTAATAACTATATTATTGCTTCGAATGGGAATAATAAAATGAATTAAAAAAAAACAAACAAAATGGGTGGATAAAGACCGTACGTACCCCGACACGGCCCACTCCATTATGCTTTAAACGGGTAACGAAACCGATGCAAGGCAAAAAATGCCCTACAACATGGGTTCGACTATGCCAAGTGAATACCCAAACCCGTCCCATTGACATCCTAGCCGCATCAACCCTCCAAGTGGAATACTTCTCAAGATTTCGCAAAACCAATGCAGAAGATCGAATTAAACGACCCGATTCGAAGAAATTAAGTCTGTGGATCTCTCCGTACTTCTCAGTTTGCAGTTCAGTCAGAAAGATAGGTTTTGGAAGAGGAAAAAATGCAATCCCTTCAATGTATATTTACCCAACTCTCCATTAAAACCAACATCAGAACTCCAAACCTCAGGGTTTTATCCGATTTACTGAAACGTTTTTCAACTGAAAATGGAAGCGGCAATAACAACAATGATAAGAAAGAACCCGATTGGGCGGCCCATTTCGGTCGGTCGGGGTCGTCCGACTCCGACCCGTTGGGATGGGACGTGGGTCCGTCCTCGTGGTCTACTGGGCTAACAAAGGAGCACTTTGACGGTGAAGTCGTTGGGCAGCAGGTGGAACCTGGTTCGGATCGAGGTAGGACCAGTGGCGGTGGCTCGGGACAGATTCGGGACGGTGGTTTGAGTCAGAATCAGGGCGGTGGCTCGAGTCAGAATGGGACTGGGAACTGGTATTCGGAGGCTAGGTGGACGGACATGGAGTTGGCGAAGGTTAAGGAGTTAGAGGCAGAGAACCGCAGGGGAAAGGCTTTTGTGGATGGCTGGGATGATAGAATGAAAGAAATGACTGAACTGATGAAGCAGGTAACTGTATATATTTACTTCCTTTTTATTCTTATGTCTTCTCTATTTTTCAGTAATTTGATAGATGGAGAACTAAACCCAGAATTCATATTTGTTTCTACGTGTGTAAGTATGCCCAAGTATTTGCAGCTATATTCAAATAGTTCTTTATGTAGTTATTTTTGCAGAAAAAGTGGGAAAAATGTCTGGTGTTTGCCTGTGTGCTCATGTAATGTTGTTGTAGGGTTCACCTTGGGAAGGGAAAATAGTGTATATTCTGAAACAAGTTTGTTTTCATTCGGATTTTGTTTTTCACCTCGATGTGTTATTTTGCCAATTTTGACAGTGATTTAGTATTTGTAGAGCAAAGCCCCGGTTTGTGAGTGGGAAAAAATTAATCATCTCCATTTTTATCTCTTTACATGCCTATGCACGTTTTCTTCTTTAGCTGTATTAATGGTGATCAAGTAGTTGGATAACTAAACTTAGATATGCACACGCACAAAAAATATTAATTTTGTTTTGCTTTTAAAAAAGTGCAGGTGAGGGAGCCAGGTGCAAGAGGGTCATATTTGAAGGATTCAGAGAAGGCAGAGATGTATAAAAAGCACAAGGAAAACCCAGAGTTGTACACTGTGGAGAGGTTGGCAAAAGAATATAGGATTATGAGGCAGCGGGTGCATGCAATTTTGTGGCTGAAGGAGCTTGAGGAGGAGGAGGAGAAGAAGCTTGGCCACCCCTTGGATGACTCTGTGGAGCTCTTGCTCGATACCTGCCCAGAGTAAGTGTATGGAAAAATTGAATTTATGTTCTTTGGCATACTATATGTGTATATACTTTATGGCATGAGTCGCTTAGCCTATGTCTGAAAAAGAAGCCAAAAATTGACTTCTTTATGGCTTCTATTGACAGTATGTATCGACATACTTCAAGATAAACCATATATTATTGTCTCGATATAAGCTGAGCGAAACATGCTTTATGTTGTGTTTGATGATATCATACAGTGTAAGTTATTCATCCAATAACCAAATGGATTGGTTAATTACTATCTTTATTGATTTGACAGTACTATGGTACAGGTAGTTGTTAGTTAGTTGTACTGTTATTGAATGACAGCCAGTCATGTACATCTACAACTACCTTTGCGCTGTAATACTTTGTTGGATTTCAGTGATTTTGAGCTGTATTGTAGTCAGAGAAGGTAAATGACTAAGATAAATTCTAGCATATTTTTAATTTGTTTTTGATTGTTTTGTTAAACTTGGATTTTGACTCCTAATGTTGTCTAGACGGTTTAGTAGAAAACATAAGCATTTGATTCAAGCAAAAAAGGCTGCGAACTCATAGATTTAAGTAGGATTATTGTAGGATTTAAGTAGGATTATTGTAGGGACTGCCTAGTAATTTTGTTGAAATGTGCCTGATGGAAAGTTCTTTGCACATTGGAAATGCCGATCATGCATTTATTGGACTATGTTGCCAGCTTGGCTTGTCTTCTTGGCGGGGCAACCGACTTGAATAGTTGTTTTAGTATTATGTACATAGAAAAAAAATAGCATGAAGTTGACCATAATTTCCAATAAAATTGGGGTTGGCAACTTTTTTTGAGTTTTCTACATCATGATTGCATTTAATGAAATTTCCCAAGTTCATAAGCCATAATATTTGCAAGTCTTATGTTGTATCCACTAAGATATCAATATGGTTACTAGTGATGGATGAGAGTAATACTAGTGATGGATGAGAGTAAAGTAACTTGCCCTTTTCAGTTTGCTTATGATGAAACCACCCCACCCCATATATACATTAAGATATCTAATATTTCTGCTTGCAATTTATTAGCTGATAAAGCCCATTTTCCTAGGCTAACTTTGTATTTTGAGGTCAGCTAGACAGAAACTGAACCAAGGATTCCATGAGTAGAAACCATTGGATCATCACTTCTTCTATGAGTAAAAAAGAATGGCTAAAGAAAAAAATGAAATGGTTTTCACTTGGTCAACAGAAAAATAAGAGTTCTAAAGAAGAAAATCTTTCCATTTCTTTATTCAAGTTCTTTGATTTTTTTTTTTTCCCTTTGGTGCAGTCTTTATGAGATGAAATATTAGTTATCATTTGTCGGAAATAAATCTATATTCTCGTCTGCTTTGGTATCAAATTGTATTTGATAAAGACTAAACTTGTGTATTCTAACCCAAATTGATGTACTGTAAATTTTGGTGCTGGTTGAATTGAAATTTGGTGATTACATTTTTAAATTCACATGCTATGTTTTCACGTCAGAAGATTCCTCATCATAATTTTCAAATATCCATATATATATCTGTTAAGAGTTGAACTGCCCACCTGCATTTGCACATTTGTAATGTTGCCTCTGGCTAGTCTGGTACTATCGTTAAATTATTTGATGTGCTGGAGTGTACTCTCTCATCGAGTAATATTTTTTGTTTTCTTTTATTTTTGGATACTTCTGTGTGCAGATTTTTCATTTCACATGATAGGGAGTTCCATGTTGCCTCTCTGCCATATAAGCCAGATTTCAAAGTCATGCCTGAGGGGTGGGATGGTACCACTAGAGACCCCGATGAGGTGCACTATGAGATCTCAATGAAAGAAGATGAAATGTTGCATCAAGAGTTTGTTCAGAGGATGAACTTCAACAAAATGAAGGTAAACATGCAAATTCTTTTGAGTACTGTTAATAATGCTTTGGAGTTGTATTTCAAATTTTGGGGCCGACCCATTTTTTTAACGAAAATGTCATTCTACGCAACTTATAGATGGCAAAGAAGGTGAAATGCCACAAATATAGCAGGAGACGTCCATCCAAAGGATGGAATTTCATGGTGGAGAAACTAGGTCCCAAAGGCAAACGAGGTAATGGTGGTGGCTGGAAATTCATTAGTGTAGCCGATGGCTCCACCAGGCCTCTGAATGAATTTGAGAAGATGTTTGTCAAGAGAGAGACTCCTCGCCGACGGCGAAAGATCCTCCCATGATATTCCATGTGATCGATTGGAGGGTATTCTATTGGCTTTGAATTTTGTGGCATGAGTTTCCAGAAGTTAAGCTTTTTGGCGGACAAAATTCAAGATTATGAATTTGACAAATAATTAGGATTTTTTTTTTCCTGTTTTTACACCTGTAACATGTACTTTTGCATTGAAGCTCGTTATCAATCAATTTGTTTCTATCTCTGAGGCTTCATAATCTTGTAATGAAAACAGGAATCCAAATGCTATAATACCCCCTCAATGAGGCTTCATAATCTTGTAATGAAAACAGGAATCCAAATGCTATAATACCCCCTCAAAATTCGTACAACATATATTATGAGGCATAAATGAATGTTTTAAAATTTTGGGTAACTTAGGAACTTTATCATTTTCTACCACTTTGTGTTAATATTCCTGATAATTGGATATATATGAGTTTCACATAAAATTAAATTTTAATATTGTTTTCGATATTTGTTAAATTATTATTTAATTATCTGATATGAATTTATTAGAGAAGTTTAGAGTTTTATCATACTTGCAACTTAAAAATAAGAGTTTTAATGATATTAGAATTTAATGTTATTATCGGATTATTTAATATAGAGGTGTTTAGATAAATTTAGGATTTTGACATATTTATGCTAGAATTTTATTTGACAAGGTTGTTTGTTATGAGTTCAATTTAAATTCTAATTAAAAGTTCTATTAAAATTCTAAGTAGGTCATTATCATACATATGAATACCGTCTCATTGTGCATTTTAATTCGTACAAATTTAGAGAGAGAGAGGCCAAAAAAAAAAAAAAAAAAAAAAAAAAAAATACACACACACACACCCCATTAATCAATAATATCAACGTAGAATCCCTACAAGAAAGGGAGGAGGTTGATCAAGCCAAACCTCATTATTGGAATTCAAAAATGCATACTTTGCCAGGGGTAAATTTCATTCACAATAATTGTACTTTACTCTAATATTGATTGGGTAGTTGTACTTCAATATTATTCAATCATGTAACTTCATCCAATATTTGCAATTGAACTAACAGAAATCAATAATGTAGAACTTGAAAAAGATCATCGTAATAATTATTCCATGTTCACAACTGATGCATGATGATCGCTATTTATTAACTTTCATGTCATCGATTTCCTTGAGCAGAATTAGATAAAGTTATTGTTATCAATCGCATTAAAGGCCCACGTGGAAACATTGTGTACACACACGTGGTATTCAACCAAGAATTAAGGAAAGGATATTGGCCGAGTTCCTACTGCAAAAGCGCTCTCATTGCTTAGCCGAAGTGCTTTTCTCCCTTCTGCCGAACTCCTTCACATTCGATGTCCATGGTTCCCAAAAGTAGGTCAGATAAGTGTGTCTTTAGAAATAATTGATGTGATGTCCTCATTAAATAGATATCAGGAATGTCAGCCTCGAATTGTAGGGCGGGCGATCCCTTGTGACGCAGTGAAATAAAGGAATTCAAGCGAAAACCTTAAGAACAAGAAATTTGGAATCCACCAAATAATAAAAAAAATAAACTCACGAATTTATTAATGAAAGATAATAAAAAAATAAACTAAGCCCTTATTTATAAAGGTTTACATGGAAGCGTAGTTTAGAACAACTAAAAGTAATGAAAAGAGGTTTACTCAAACTAGAATTGTAAAAAAAAGGAAAATAAACGAATTGACAAAAATAGCGCTAAAACTTTAAAAGTCAGTTTTTGAGGCATAAACGAACTTGAACGGCTGAAATTCAATGTACATCATGGCATAGCTTTGAGTATCTACTAGTACTCTTTTTTCAATATACCATTTATGTCCTACATCACTTGTCAAATGTCTATCAATGCAATAAATGTGAGATACAAAAGTTTGGCAGAAGAGGCCACGTGAATCTGATCCAACGATGACCACGTCGACCTGGTCACTATAAATAGCAGTCTTTGTAACATTTTAAAGGGATGAATCTCCATATATATAAATGAATATTGTGTTTTCTCCTCTTGTGTCTGTTTGCCCCTTATCACACACTTCCTTCTTTTTGTAGATTTTCAATAGGATACATCTTGTTTATATGCTTGAATACATTTGATCAATAACTGAACATTTGATTGAGCTTACAATAGAACTTATGATCAACATCTTGAGGAATCTGTCCACGTGTGCGTTATTTTGGAACGACACATGTTGGCACGTTTTTGGAGGTCAACAAATTGACGCCGTCTATAAGTAATCGAGATGATTAACCACGAAGATCCTGTGAAAAAAGGCCAGGGATATTAGTCCAAAAGAACCTTGGGCCTTTGAACAAAATATGGTATCCTTGAAGATGGAACCGAAAATATTTTCTCCAACATATCTTCATCAGTGATTTTTTTCTTCATAAAAAATCAATTTTGAACATATTCTAAACAATTCAAAATTGTACTCATCAACAATTTTGAAGTCTTGCAAATAAAAATGTATCCACTCATAGCGAGTTTTGGGAAGAACTATAGTACTTTGATGATTAAATCTTTCAGTTGATTTGTTTCAAAGAATCTGTGGATCTTTCTCAGTGAAATATTTAATTTTCAATTCAGCGGTGAGTAGGATATTACTCGTCTACCCGGGTCCAACCATTATGACTCTTCTGGTAAATGGCTTGTGATACGTAGCATCAGCTTCAACAATAGTTAGTTTGCGGTTGGCAACGAAGAAAAAGAGTTGTTGACGAGTGCAGCATTGATGTATGAAAAGAATCGTGTCCTTAGATTTCAATGAGATTTTGTTGTATCTGTGTTGAAACATACATTCTTATCATTTTCACTATTGATTCTTTTCAAATTTGCAGTTTTAATCCATTCTCATCAGGTTAACTGCTTCTTGATTAAGAAATTCTTAGGGCTTGTTGGATACACATAATGGACAAGTTTTGGCAATAAAATGGATAAGTCCTTTTCTTTCTTCATATTGTGTCCAATTTGTTAAAAGACTTCTTTTTCGAGAAAATGGACATGGCATTGTGACTGTCTTTGCCCGATACCGATGCCATGGCCGAAGGTGCACGTGATGCGGTGGGTAATGCGAATATTCAGTAAGATGGAAGCAAGGCAGCGTGTAGGCATTGTGATGCGTGAGTGACGGAGGCATTACTTGATGACAGCATCACATGGGTCGAATTTGGGGATGGAAGTTAGTCGGCCTTAGTTTTAGGCATTTTTCGACTGTAAGTAGAGCTTGTAGCCCAATTGGTCTTCAATGCAATGGCAAAAACAAGCACAAGGACGGTGCTGACCCTTCATAATTCTTGTACATGTTTTCTTTATTTTAGATAAATAACAGCTCCCCTACTTCTGTGCTCTCTGTCTTGTTCTTTCAATATTCACTACAAATTCTGCTTATTTTCAACGTCAGTGCACTAAGACACAACTAGTTGATGCTATCTCATGTGACTAAAATCCGAGACAATCCCGTGACACCAATACAAATATTAGTCTCCTTTGCTAGAGATGACCACCACCTGTTCGTAAGTTCATTAGCATAAATAACTTAATTATTAATAAATAATTATCTCAGGTACAAATTAATTATTTTATAAATAAATTGTCTTAAGACCGTTAGAAACTGCTACTAATCAAGATTAAAATAAGATTTAAAACCATATTTAATTAGCCAATAATTGAATATTAACTTTTAAACTAAAATTGCAGAGGTAAGTCCAAAAGAATTAGACCTCTCAAAAAATTAGCGCATGCCCCTCATTGCAGCGTACACACGGTATTCTTTAGTAAAAGGCGAAAGAATAGTTCGCTTTGTGTTCACTGTGTGGCTGCGTGGTCCTATAGGTTCACAATGGGCTTTTTTTATATTATTTACGTCTCAATTAACTTTAGTCATGTTTCGATGTGGGATTCGTTTATTTCATTTCTTCAGTCCTCCCCCCTCCTTTTTAGTATTTCTGCTTCTCTAAGACATATCATAGCCTCAATCCTGATTCCAACACTATCGTTTCAATGAAATTTTGTTTGAAGAGTTTCTATTTGTAGAGTTACTCATGAATACCGGGATTTGTATTGGAAGTGCCGTGTTTATACTTGGAGGAGACCGTGTAACAAGCACGGATGGAAATGTTGTGTCTATTTAATATGTTTGATTTTCTAACGACTCATTTCGACCACTCGGTCTCTTTGCTTCTATTTCTTATATCTGGTAACTTTTTCTTTACGGTAATTCTAACCGGCTGATGCACTTCATTCTGATTAGATATTCGATGAAGGGAAAGACATTTATAATTGAGGAGAGACCATAACTGATTAATGATGAACGTTCAACTAAGCTGATCCTGACTTGTACATTATGTTGTACTTCAATTTATGGGGTTGAGTTCATGACAATGAAATCAACAAACCCCTCAAGCCATTGTCATTGGCTTCCATTTTTGCTTCCTTCTCTGCTTTTGTTTTTGAAACTTTAAAGGTGCAATGCTTGAAGGATCTGTTCGGTTCACTGTCCAAGGGTGGACACTAGTACGGAAGAAATGAAGCTAAAATCTTGTCTATCATCGGTGTCTGATCATGCAAAACATATGCTTAGGAACAGGTCAGATTAGGAGTAAAGGACATTAAAACTTTAGGTAACTTAGTCCAACCACAGAAAATTTGGTGTTTCGACCGGATAGCTCTATTAATGTTATAATAATTAAGATTTCTTCCTTTCAGATTTTTTGAGCTCATATTACCTGGTCCTCAATGTCCTGATTATCGGTCAAATCCAATAAGCGACAACATTTTGTAGTTAGTCACATGCAGAACACAAATGGCCTTCCCACGGTAGGAGTATCTGTAAGTTTCTTAGAGAATAATGGTGTCAAATGCCTCTCAATTATTTACATACAATAAGTCTTCTTAATAATTATAATTTATACAATGAGTTACACAGAAACAATCAAATCATAAACCAGACACGTAATCCTTTTAACTTACTACACTAAAAAAACTTGGTCAAACAATCAAATCACAAACCAATCTGAGGCCAGCATCTGCTACTTGAAACCTATAACTAGTGCTCGGTTTATAGCGATTTTGATAATTGATTTTTTGACCGTTAAAAATAAAGTGAGTCTTACTTGTGAGAGAAAAATTCAAAAATGACGATGGAATAATAAAATAACTGTCAAAAAATTAATTTTAATTGACTTTTGTATATTTT